GCTTCCTACCTTTGTGATCGTTTAATAAACCCGCCTTATAGCATGAAGACAACTCTATGTCAGGAACGTAAATCAAATGAAAGTTCTGGAATGAATCATTTGACTAGGAAACCGCCATAGAATATGGATTTTTGAGTTACCTTATTTTCTTGCAATCCAGTCATTATCGCAAGAAGTTTAGGATTTTTCCCTTTTTGCTGGGCAAGTTCAAGGATACCCTCACCGCCACGGAATCCAGTCAAGCGAGCCTCGAGTCGTCCACCTTCTGTAATAAAGACTTTGAGAAAATACTTCGATAGTTTTCTCTCGTTATTCTCCTGTAACACCGTTTGCTTGCGTTCGCTCTGCAAAGAACTAATAAGTGCTCTTTTATTTATTTTCCTATTTCTCTATTTCTTGATTTACTCAATAGTTACAGGTGTGCCATTGAAAACAAAAAAATAACTTTGTAACGTCAGGAAATTGCCACTTGTCCACGCACTCCAAAACTAGGGTTGGAAGAAAACAGAGAGAAAAAACAGAAGCAAGCGAAAATGTTCTTGTTTTTCTCCTGATTTTTGCTTCCCGACCTGTTTTTTGGGAAAAATCTCTCATAGATTTAAAATCACGTAATATCCGTAGTAGCTATTATTCTCAATTAATGATACGTCAATTCGTAATTAGATAGTTCTTTGATATCCTTTATATGAATAGTGAAGAGTGAAAAATGGTTACATTTTGGGGGTTCAGAAAACTTGGGAGCTCAGAGTGGGTAGGGTAAGTTTCATGAGTTAAGCAGAACCTTATTTGCCAAAAGTAACCACCTTTTTGGGGAGGATCCACACAAGTATTTCTAAAATAATTCACAGTAAACGTGGTGTGTGCATCATTCTCGACAAATAGATCTGGTCTGGTCAATTGGTCTTGATCGGAGATTACACATTGCTCTTCTCCGGGAATGTGCATTGCCGACCTGCATCGTGATCCATGAATTAGCGCTGATAGGCATAGCCGCAGGCATTCGTCTTTAAACTGAAATTTATCCTCAAATAGAAGAGCAGAGGTACGGAAAGTTTTCTATGTCAGTTAAGCTGAAAGATAGGGGAATGAGCTCAAACAGAAGAAGGAGATGGAAGTGGGAGAGAAAATGAAAAGAATGAGAGAAAGGCTGCAGTTGTGGTGTTCGAGTGTCCGTGTAGTTGCCAAGACGTATTACGGTAGAAAAAGAGCTTTGTTTTCGAGAGATTAGTCTCACAGAACCCGGTCAATACGTTGCATTATTTGGGACTTAAAATTCTTAACTCAAATACCAAGCTATAGTCGAGGAGTAATTCTTCCTTATGGCTTTGTTTTTTTTTTTATATAGGCTTTCTAACTAGCGCCCTTTAGATGACAAATTCAGTAAAATTGAAAAATGGCAAACTTTTCGTTATGACGCAAGAAGCCTGGAAATTATAGATGGTATAGCGGGTTTCGACTGGGTAGAAGTGGGCGCGGAACGAGGATTTAGCACCGCTAAGCCTTATTCCCCCGTGAACAACTATTTTCGCTATATTTATCTTCGAGTAGAGAAACGCTCACCGTAATTGAGCCTTACACCTGCGATATTCATACTTTTTTAAAAATATTTTTAACATAACGTTTCTCCTAATTAAAGGCTTGATTTGATGTTGGCTAATTCTGAGGTCTTTTATATCAACCAAGGCGCTCCACTATCTCCGATAGCTAAAAAGCTTCAGCCTTGAAAAAAATCAGTTTTCCGCGAGTTCACGAGCAATTGGCCGTAAATAGTCCTTTACTCATATATACTTTGCAAATAAACTACTACTTTGGGCTACTTCAACAAATTAAAGGTATCGGAGTTAACACAATGCATACATCGTGTGAATAGCTTGTTAGTGACTGATTGCCTCGATTATTAGAGCAGAAATGCAGAAATTATGCTTCATAAATAACTAGTTACTTCATAAATAAATAAATCCATCTTGAACCGCCGTCATGCAAATTGCTCAACAAAATTTTCACAAGTGCAGAAAACGGAACATCCCTTTTCAAATTATTTTTTTGCCAATAGATCCCGATCAATGAGGAGTAGATTATGACTCTAAAATAAGATCCTTATTTGGTAAGAACTAATTTGACGTGTTTATAAAGATTGCGCTTGTATGTGAAGGGCAGTACCAACTGTAATTATTTTCCAGAACCAACCTTAAGTGAATGATCATCAAAGTTGTCTGTCTCGTTTGTTGACCGTAATTTGGCTACGGAATGTGGACAGGAACACATTCCAAAGCAAGACGAACATAATCGAGCAAACGTTGGCCAAAAGAATCGTAAATTCGTAGTTCTTTTTTCAAGGACACTCTTAACGTTCTTCAAATTCCATGCTTAATGAGATGTATTAATTTAGAGACTT